CACGAAATGGGACTCCTTTAAAATCTCTTCTGGAGTTTAAAATCAGGACCATTTAAAGCTAAATGGATGTACTCCTGTTCTAGAAGAGGTACACGGCATCTCAATCTTGCCCTCATGAATCTAGCAATGAATGTCTCGACCAATTCACTAAGCAATTGGCTCAGCCTGGATAAATCGGCCAGAGTTGGTTCTATCTCTGTACGGTAGAATTGATTGTAAGATAACTCCTCTATCTGTGGCCAATTAAAAACAGAGTTAAGAGGTAAACGAATATACCATGAAAAAGCTACCCCTATCAAAGAGTTAGGAAAAAGTCTTAATTTTGACCAAAGGCTCACACTGGCCTCTCCACATTGAACTGTGAAGCGGCCAATGTGTTCTATGGTCGATTGATTCCCTTCTTCACTAAAGGTTACAATGTCAGGGACTTTATATCCTCTAGGGAACTCAACTTGGTCTACCACTTTTGGATATAGAGTTCTATAGATTGGTCAGCCGGTACCTCTAAATTCCAGGCCATACTCTTGGGTAAGTAAATCAGCTAATTGCCCTCTATCTAGCATGACCTGTGGTGGCTGATTTATTACCGGCGGTACCTGATTAAAAATTGGCAGCTGATTAGACGCCGGTTGATAGTAATTCGGTCAATCATGTGGTTGATTAGCTATATTCTGCTCCCCAAGCCCTGGTTGTGGATGCACATGCTTATATAGTGGGTTTGTGGGTCTCCACCTTATCTGATTGCCCCCTGAGCCCAAAGGTACCTAAGGAGGGTTTGGTGGAATTACCTGTGGCCACGGATTTACTATTGGCGGCTGATTAAAACTTGACACAGTAGGTCGCGGATGATTTTTTGCCCAGGTTGATGGCGTATAAGCCAGCTGACTTGATGTTGCACCTGGTTGGAGTATCGTTATTGGCGGCCATGGCTATAATGATTCAATGGCCCTCTCTGGCCGAGTAGATTATGACGGATTCGACTGAAGAGCCGATTCCTAATTGTTGAAACTGCTAGCCTGATTCGGCCTATTCAAAATGAAAGTTGAGAGCTGGGACATAGTTTCGTGTATATCATTGTAATGTGCACCCATCCATCCCATTACATTTGCAAAGAAGCTCACCTGTGCTTACATCATTGCTAACTCATCAGTCAGGCCCGATGCAGAGTTCTCAGCCTGAACTGGTTGATGTCCTTTCTCTGGATCTTCTTCAGTAACCAAGGCCTTATAATTCTTCGTAAGTTATGGTGGCATTTTTGCCTCTTTTAACACCAACTAGTGGTCCCACCAGGCGTGCCAAAATATGTTCACGTAACTTTTTGGTCTTACGCAAGTCGATAGACTTTTGCGGGCGTGCTAAAGTATTTGTATAAAACACTCAAAATTATAAATTGAACACCAACCTATCCCTTTTTCTGATAGTTGACTTTAGGTGAATGTGTAGGAGAGAGAATAGTAAGAACTCCTAGTAAGGTTCTTTTTATGCTTTATTTGCAAGGTGGTGTGCCGTGGGACCAAAGCTGCAAAAGATGGTAATGTAGCCAAGTTCAAATTTAGAAAATGCTATTACCACTACTAATTATAAATGTAGCTAGAGTAAGTAGGGATCGTCCCAAGGGATCTAGAGTGTATTTTTGCTTGGAAATCAACGTCGGATTAGTAGGTCGAGTGATAAAAAATGGTTTGATTGGTTAATTAAACTACAATTTAAACTAAGCAAAAGCAATGTGAATCAACTAAAGTAAGTAAGGTGAAGAGAGTATGAGAGAGAGGTCGATGGATTAAGGGGGAATTTTTGTTGTAAATGAAAGTGTGTGCAATTGATTGAAATATTAGCATGAATGGCCAAGTAAGCATACATTGTCTAGCCAATCTAGTGAATAGCACAACATATCAAATTAAGTCATTAATTCTTCCATAAGTCCACAATCAATACACACTCAACACATTAGAGAAATGTACTACTTGCAATCATAAGCATGGAACATCAAACAACAAGAATGGATTGTCCACTTATCTAAGAAAGTAAGGCAATTACACTACAACTAAGCTAGTGACATGAAAATTAAACTAATTAAGCTAAAGGTGTGGCATAATCCATCAAGAAATAAGTATGAACCATCAAATAAACCACAAGAGTATTCCATTTAAGTATCATGCCTTGACCATTACTAGATTCATAATATCAACACACATAGACATGCATCAATGTCACAAAATCTAGAAATAAACACATGAACATCCATTCTAGCATACATAGACATATAAATAGAATTAAATAATCAATTGGAAGTATTAAACTACATAAATCATTGTAGAAACAAGATTTATATATATCAAATGACAAGACAAGAAATACAACACTAATCCCCATTAATTGCAAAACATTAAAGTCTAGGAGGCATGCTTAGGGCTATCTCTAGCCCCAAGAGAATGGTTTAGCCACTCATGATGTTGTCATCCAACCCTCAAGGGCTATCTCTATGGTAGAGCTCATCTTCCTCCTCTTGTGTAAACTAGACTAGAGGAAGAACTTTCCCAAATTGTGTATTTTCTCTCTAATCTCTAGCCAAACCTCTAAACTAAAACCAACCTCTTTACTCAAAATAGCAAAAATCCTTGTATAGGTAGCTCCAATGTCACACCCAATGGTCAAACCTTATGCACTTGGACCTCCTAATGATTACACCACGAGCACACCTTTAATTTGGCTTGAAATCAACTTTTTACGCAACTTGAGGTAGTTTAATCGATCATAAGGTTGCTTGGATCGATCAAACCTTGGTGGCGCCTTTTTGGATAATGATAAGGCTGAGATATTTTTGGGATATTTTTAGAAAAATGACAAAAGTGGTAGGTGGGGATAAGGTCAAAGTGTTCGATCGATCAGAAAGAATAATGGATCGATTGAAGAAGATATTTTCCTGAGGAACAAATAAAAGGCTCGATACATCAAAACTTGGTTAGATCGATCACTGTGTGATCAATCAGGGCTTGGGTTCGATCGATCATGGAGAGTTTCCTTCACCACTTTGCTCATTTCTTCCTTTGAGCTTGAGATTGCATTTTTTATACTCTAATTCAACTGAATTAACTTATTTTAGGGATAAGTGCCTGAAAAAGGAAATAATACGAAATTAGACTCAAACGGGAAAATAAGATAGATAAAGTTCCTAGAACATTCAACCTTAAGGGGTTTAAATGCGCACTTTTCAGCACTTATCATAAAGATTTTTTATAAAGGTGTTAAAAGAAATAAAAATGCAATAATTGAAGAAAATTTGAATGAACTAGCTGAATTTAAATTGACTTTAAAGAAAGACGGCTGAATTGAAATGGACTGAAAAGTAAACTGGCTAAATTAAAATAGACTGGAAAGGAATGTTTGCAATGAAATGGAATAGGCCGAATTAAAGTGACATGAATTTGATTAAAGATTTGTCATTTGAATCCGTTTTCATAAAACAATGACTAAATTGTAAATAGCATAATTAAGCATTGTAAAAAGAATGATAAGTTACTGGAACTCATATTCTTCGAATAAAATTTGTTATTTGGACAAAATATTTAAAGATAAGATGACATTGAGTCATTTGATGAATTTTGGATTCATACTGTTTTGTGGTTGGTGCTAGACAAATAGGAATAGGATTACAACTTTCCTATTTATAAAATTCTTTCTATCTTTATTTCTTGTTAAAATATCTCTCTGCCTTGATTCTTCCTCCTCAGAATTCAAACTGAATCAAAAAGTGTACTTTGTCTTCTCATCTCTGAATTTTCTCGTTCCCTTTTTGCTTCAATTGAAAAGCCTTTGCCGAAAAACTCTCCTTGATTGGGTCAAAACCAGTCGCTAAAATATTGCTAAAAAGTCGCTAATTTTTAGCAACTTCTTACCTTAAGCTCGGTTGATGTATTTCCTTAAATGGCCTAATAGCCATTTACAGCTTTTGTATTTATCCATAACTCTTGCGACGGCCCCTTTTTCTCTGGAATTCCTTTTCCAATTAAATCCCTATTTCATAGGGATTTTAGCTAAATCTCTAATATTTCTTTCTCAGTTAAACAACCTATTTGAATTAATTCAAATACCAGTTACCATGTTTCAGCAACAACCTTATTTGATAAGGTGGCTGAATTCCTAGATTTTCTCCTTTTGTTTCTCAAACGGCCGTCTCTCCTTGGAAACATAATGAACACTAGTCAGCTCCTCACTGGTCCACGTCACCGCTGAGGTGGCTGCCAAGTTTTGGTGCCAACACACTCACAAGCTGGTTGGGTCCTTCCATCCTTGATAGAAATTAGTAGTAAATTACCATATACAAATACATATACATAATGTATAAAAGGGAGAAAAAAGAAAAAGAAAAAAAGAACAAATAGATGATGTGAGTTACATCCTACAATAACAAAAACTAGCAGATTCCCGTCTGACGGGCATGGTGCATAAGAGACCTTTATTGGGAATTAATTTTATGCATCATTGCAGCATTAAACAAATTTGGAGTGGAATTAGAAAAATCAGTTGGAACATATTGATACAAATGTTGATATAGTTGGTATATATCTTATAAATGAAGTGAGAAAAAAAAAAAAAAAAAAAAAAGAAAAAAAGAAAAAAAAAAAAAAAAAAAAAACCTAATACAGTGAAAAGAGAGGGCAGTAAATGATGTATGAACACATTTATTATGAAATAGAGAAATTTGTTGGGGTCATAAATATTATTGGTGTACTGCATTATGAAAGTCTATATATTTATGAGTCTTGCACCAAAATTTCCATAATGGAGTACCTAGTACACCAAAAATATTTATGAGTTCACCAAATATGCATCCGAATTTGTGGATATTTATTCATGGACCCACTACCACATCGATCCAAATTTCCATTGGTGATATGTGTCATTTCTTACCATCTGCTTGTAGTTTCTGTGCAACTGACTTCATGAAAGCACTTATTATATATATGTACTCTCGATCATTAGAAATCTTGAAGAACACCATGGCTAATAGTAACAGTTTTCTTGGTCTTGTTGTTCGCCTCTTTCTTTTGGTGGTATTGCTAGGTTCATCATCTTATTTGGAGATCAACATCATTAAACTCACCTCCGCCAAGTGCATTGAGGAGGAGAGGAAAGCACTTCTGACCTTCAAGCAAGGTCTCAAAGATCCTTCTGGCAGACTTTCTTCTTGGGTGGGTGACGCTTGTTGCCATTGGAGTGGTGTCCGATGCAACAACGTATCAGGACATGTTGTCAAGCTCCACCTCAGGAATCCATTTTCAGAAAGCAGTGAGATTTTTTGGTCAATGGAGTACGATTATGAACGGTTTGCCTATGCGTCCCATTACCAAAGGTCGTGTTTGAGAGGTCAGATAAGTTCTTCTTTGCTTCACTTGAAATATTTGAATTACTTGGACCTAAGCTTCAATGATTTTGAAGGAACTCGAATTCCTAAATTCTTGGGTATGTTTGAGAACTTGAGATATCTTAATCTCTCTTCTTCATTCTTTGCCGGAGAGATTCCACCTCATCTTGGAAATCTATCCAGCCTGAATTCACTTGATCTCGGCTATGATTTAACGTTGTTCCATTTAATTGACAACCCAGTTGGCATGAGTAACCTACTCACTCCAAATTTGGAATGGCTCACACGGCTCTCTTCTTTGAAATACCTTAACATGAGAGAAATGTTAGTCAATGACATAAATTGGCTGCAATCAATTAATATGCTTCCTAACCTCCTCGAGTTACACTTGCCTAGGTGCTCTCTACAAAGCCTTCCACTCTCACTCCCATTCATTAATTTAACTTTTCTTTCAGTCATTGATATTTCTGAGAATCAGTTTTTCTCCTCAATACCAAACTGGTTGTTCAATCTCACAACCCTCACCGAACTTGATCTCAGGGGCAGTAACTTCAATGGAACCATTCCGAGTAAATTTGTTAACTTGAAGTTTTTGAAATCCCTTGATATCTCTGTTAATGACTTTAACTGCTCCTCAATACCAAACTGGTTGTCCAATCTCACAAGCCTCACCAGACTTCGTCTCAGTGGCAATTCCTTTAATGGAACCATTCCGAGTGAATTTGTGAACTTGAAGTCTTTGGAATCACTTGATTTGAGTGGTAATGGATTTGAAGGTCAAATACCAATAGTTTTGGGGAATCTTTGCAAGCTTAAAATTTTAGACCTTTCTGAAAACCAATTCAGCGAAGGGGTGGTTGAGTTTTTTGGTGCATTAATCTCAGGTTGTCCTACTAATAGCATAGTGTCACTAAGTTTACGGGGTAACTATCTTGTAGGGGAACTGCCAGATTCAATAGGAATACTTGAGAATCTTCAAAATCTGTACCTCTCTGGAAACTTTTTTTGGGGTTCAATCCCAAAATCGATTGGAAATTTGTCAAACTTGCAAAAATTGGACATTTCCTCCAATCAGATGAATGGAACCATTCCCGAAAGTTTTGGACAACTCTCAAAACTCATAGACCTAAATCTCAATTGGAATTCATGGGAAGGTGTTATTATAACAGATGCTCACTTGATAAATCTCACAGGATTAAAGTATTTTCAAATAGATACATACAAATTTAGGTCAGTGATTTTCAATGTGACATACGAATGGATACCCCCGTTCAAGCTCAAGCATCTTGATCTCAAAAACTGCCTAGTGGGTCCCAGATTTCCGATGTGGCTTCAACTTCAAAGTGAACTTTCTTATTTGTCTCTTACAAATGTTGGAATTGCAGACACCATACCTGGGGAATGGTTTTCCAAGTTATCATCCCGAGTCACCTATTTGGATCTTTCTAGCAACCAAATAAAAGGAACGCTACCGATCCATTTAGAATATCCAAAACTAGGTTCTATGGACTTGAGTAATAATCATTTTGAGGGTCCCCTTCCATCATGGTCTACCAATGCATCTGTTCTTTCTCTCAACAACAACTCGTTTTCTGGTCCGATTCCATCAAATATTGGTGAACTGATGCCACAATTGCAAGTTTTGCATCTGTTTCAGAATCCTCTCGGGGGTACAATTCCATTATCATTATGCAAAATGGAAATGTTAAAATCACTTGTCCTTAGGACCAATCAATTATCTGGGGAGCTCCCTCAATGCTGGAAGGCATCGCAGACATTATCCATTATGGATATGGCAAACAATAAGCTCTCGGGCGAAATTCCAAGCTCATTGGGTTCTCTGAGTTCTCTTCAGGAATTAATGTTGAGCAACAATATGCTACATGGGAAAATTCCTCCATCATTGCAGAACTGCATGCTGGTGATGATTGATCTTGGAGGAAACAACTTAACTGGAAAACTACCTTTGTGGATAGGAGAACGTGCCCCTGCATTACAAATTCTACTTCTGCGATCTAACTCGTTTAGCGGAGTCATCCCTCAACGATGGTGCAATCTTACGGAACTTCATATTCTAGATCTTGCGGACAACAACCTTTCTGGAGTCATTCCTAGCTGTTTAGGAAATTTAACAGCTCTAATTTATGGTAATAGCAGCTTTTTCTATCTCACTACAGAGCAAATAGTTGTGGTGGCAAAAGGAAGAGAGCTCACATATGGAAAAACTATGGAATATGTCAATATTATTGATCTTTCAGCAAATAGCCTAATTGGTGAAATCCCTGAAGAGATAACAAGTCTTATTGCACTTGGTACCTTAAATCTTTCGATGAATCATCTGTCTGGATGGATACCCGACAACGTTGGGAATTTGCAATATTTGGAAACCTTGGATGTTTCAAACAACAATCTGTCGGGACCAATTCCTCAAAGTTTGTCTTCATTAACGTTTTTGGCACACTTGAACATGTCTCACAACAACTTGGCAGGAAAAATTCCATCTGGAAATCAGCTCCAAACACTCGATGATTCGTCGATTTATGAAGGTAACCCTTTACTATGTGGACTCCCTCTTCCAACCAAGTGCCCAGGTGATGATAAATCTGATGTGCCACCTCGTGATGGAGGACATCTCGATGATAGCGACGATGAAAATGGTCTTGACATGGCATGGTTCTATATCAGCTTGGGACCCGGATTTGTTGTAGGATTTTGGGTTGTCTTTGGTACAATATTAATAAAGAAGTCGTGGAGGCATTGCTACTTCCAGTTCTTGGAGAACATGATAGAAAGGATTGTTCTTTCGATTGCATTGAGAGTGGCTAATTTGAGAAGAAGGTGGGCTCAGTGAAAAATTAATCCTTCGGAAGAGAAGGTTTGTAATATATTTGTTTCAAGAGAAATTAGCAACTCCAGTGCACGTGTGTGTAGGTACGTAGATAAGTGCAAGTCTTTGTGGTTTTTTTTTTTCTTTTATTTATTTATTTTTTTGTGTAGTTTTTTTTTTTTTTTTTCTCTTTTTGAGTTGATGTGTAAGCATTTGTATAATAATATTATAATTCCATCACATCACCACTTCCGTTATCATTTATCAATTTGTAGTTTTGCAAACTGCTGCAGTTGTATTAGGCATGCATGGTGAGTTACTCTCTAAATCTCTGTCAGAATTCAATGCATTTGAAGACTAACGCCTACAGAAAATGAGGACATATTGTGTGATGATACTTGTATGATCAGTTTTGCTATTTTCTAATATTCATTGGTTTGATATTTACACTAATTCTTGAACACAATTTTTTTTTCTAAACCGGCAATATGTTTTAGGGGTTCTAACATTTATCACGACCATTTTGACCAATGTCAATAGTCAGCCATGAGTAAACTTTTTGCATTTGTAGATTTAGGAATCTAACTTATGCTTCATTTAGATAAATGAATGGATTTAAATCAAGAGAGTTGAGTTTTTACATAAAAAGTTAGCTATGAAGTTAAATTCTCAAGTTCAAGGTGATTTTTTTGGGTAAATACCAAAATAATAATAAAAATAAACATAACTCTTTATACCTTGTTATCTGGATTCACTTGTATAATTCTCTCAAATCCATTCATTTGATATCTTCTCGGATCTATCACGCTATATTTCTTACGAATTGAATCTAAACACATTGATTTGAAATCCTTGATTTTAAATCAAACCTTAAAAGAAATTTACAGTACAAATTGTTATATATAGTCAGCCAGTGTCCTGTAATTCGGTTTTTAAACCTTACAGACCAACTGCCAGAAAAAATTTAACAAAAAAAAAAAAAAAAAAAAAAAAAAAAAAAAAAAAAAAAGGAAGGAAGAAAGGAAAAATTAAGATATGAGTGGTGGAAGGCCAATGAAATATTAAGATAAGGACCACCTATCTTTCTTACAATAACTTCATGGATGCACTCATAGAAGAAATGTTTATGCTTTGAATACTGCTTACTTACTCATTGCATATCTTCAAGAACACCATGGCTAACAGTAGTACTTTTCTTAGTCTTCTTGTTCGTCTCTTTCTTCTGGTGATGTTGTTAGGCTCATCATCCTATTTGGAGCTCAACGTCGTTAAACTCACCTCTGCCAAGTGCATTGAGAAGGAGATGGAAGCACTTCTCGACTTCAAAAATGATCTCAAAGATCCTTCGGGTAGACTTCTTGGGTGGGTGACGATTGTTACCATTGGAGTGGCGTCCGTTGCAACAACATATCAGGGCATGTCATCAAGCTCAACCTCAGAAACCCATTTTCAATAGGCACTGAGGCTTTTTATCCAATGGAGTACCATGAAGAGATGGCCTATACATCACATTATGGAAGGTGTGCTTGGAAGGTAAGATAACTTCTTTGCTTCAGTTGAAATACTTGAACTATTTGGACCTGAGCTTCAATCATTTTAAAGGAATTCAAATTCCTAAATTCTTGGGCATGCTTGAGAACTTGAGATATCTCAATTTCTCTTCTTCATTGTTGATTGGAGAGATTCCACCTCATCTGGGAAATCTATCCCGCTTGAACTATCTTGATCTCGGTGCTTCTTCAATATTACTCGATTTAGCTGAGGTACAAAGTATCAGCTATTTCCTACACACTACAAATTTGAAGTGGCTCTTAGGTCTCTCTTCTTTGAAATACCTTAACATGCAACAATTGGAAGTCAGTGACACTAATTGGCTCAAAACAATTAATATGCTTCCTAATATCGAAGAGTTACACATTAGAGTGTTATCTGCTGAGGCTTCCACTCTCGATTCTATTTGTTAACTTAACATTGCTTTCGGTCTTTGATCTCTCTGAGAATTTTCTTTGAATCCACAATACCAAACTGGTTGTTTAATCTCTCAAGCCTCACCAAACTTGATCTCAGCACCAATTTCTTCGATTGAGTCATTCCGAGTGAATTCATGAACTTGAAGTCTTTGGAATCCCTTGAATTGGGTTCCAATTAATGTTTTTGAAGGTCAAATACCAATATTTTTGGGGAATATGTGCAACTTGAAAATTTTAGATCTTTCTCTAAACAATTTCAGTGGGGAGGTGGTTGAGTTTTTTCATGGATTATCCGGGTGTCCAACTAGTGGCCTTGTGTCTAAGGCTACAAACGAGCCAAGTCGAGCCGAGCTGAGTAATGGTGTGCTCGAGCTCAGCTTGGTCAGGTGATAGAATGTTCAAGCTCGGCTCAAGCTCGAGCCCAGCCGAGAAAATCTGGTTCAAGCTCGGCTTGGCTATGCTCGACAAGCCTCGAGCCGAGCTCGATAGCTCGTTTTATTTTTTTTTTTTTTGTGGTACTTCGCATCTAACAGATCTGGAACAAAAAATTAAAAAATAAATAAATAAAAAATAAAAAAGTTTGATAGAGAAATAGATTTGCAACAATAAAAAGAGAGAAGTTTGAGAGAAAAAGAGAAAGAAAGTGATAATTTTGATCGAAAATTAAACTTACCAGAGTTGATTTTGATGGAAGAAGTTGAGAGATGCACAGATCAATAGTAAACCCCAAAATCTATATTAAAAATCAATTTGGATGAAACACAATTAATACATAAGTATATTGCCGCCGCTACTTGATGAGATGATAAAATATAAGAAGAGAAAGAGAGAGAAGTAAGATTCCATGATAGAAAGCAGATTGCTGAGGGTGTGTTGCCGCTCTGCTTGGGCTACTGATAATTTTAAAAAAAGGGAAGATGATTAGGGTTAGACATAAGATATGGGCTTGGGTTTGATTGTACAAATGGACTTGGTTTTTGTTTTAAAACGATAAAATTGGGTTTAAAACAAAAAGGATTATAAAATTTAATGGCCTGTGGACTAAGCCTTCGTAACAAAAAATTATATATTATAATTGGATATGTATATGTATCAGTAGTGTTCAATTGTTCCCCTGGTGAGTAGGGAGCAATATACTCACTTTTACCCATAGCCTTTTGATTTAATCCAGCGGCTAATTGAAACAATAGTTATTTTAGGTAATTGTCTTTCTTTTAATTAGCCATTAATTATAAAATGACTATATTGGATACTTTTTAAAAACATAATGATAATAATTTTTTTTAATCTGATTCAACTTTAACTATGTCCCTTTCCACCACTGTCGGTCCGACACCACCACCCACCTCCTCCCCCACTGCCACGACCACCTCCCCCAACCACACCACAACACTGCCACCTCCATCACCACCATACTGCCACCCACCACCACCACCACATACACCAATAATTATAAGGACATGAATTTAAAGATGTATTCTTGATCATGATAAGTTTTTTCTATCAGCTTCTTGTGACTTTCTCATGATAATTATGATTAATGATGGGATCTAGATGCAAGCGCTTTAAGTTGTAAATTTGGTAATTCTTAGTCAAAAGTAGTAATTAAATCTGTTTGGGTGGAAGTGGTGTGGTGTAGGTGTGGTGGTTTTGTAGCAGTGGTGGCGGTGATGTGATAGTGGTGGAGGTAGTGGCGGGGTAGAGGTGACAATGGCGGTGGAGTGATGGCAATTCATGGTTAAATATTTTTTTTCTTTAAGAATGTATTTAATATAATCATTTCATAATTAATGACTAATTAAAAAAATGTTAATTTCCTAAAATAATTATTCTCTTCCGTAGCCGTTGGATTAGATCCTAAAGTTATTAGTAAAAGTGACTATATTACTCCCTACTCACCAGGGAGCAATTGAACATTACTGGTGTGTGTGTGTGTATATATATATATATATATATATATATTATAATCAAGTATCTTATCGAGCTCAGCTCGTGAATGGTTCATGAATAAACTAGTCGAGCTTACTGCTATTCAGACTCGGCTCGTTTATGAATCGAGCCTCACAATTCGACTCAAGCTCGATTCATTTATAAATGAACCGAGCTCGAGCCGAGTAATTCACAAGCTGAGCCCGAGCCTAAGCAGTTCACGAACAGCTTGGCTTGTTTGCAGCCCTACTTGTGTCACTAAATTTAGAGAGTAACGCTTTTGAAGGGGAATTCCCCAAAACAATAGGAATGCTTAAGAATCTTCAACATTTGCGTCTCGCTGACAACTCTTTTTGGGGTTCAATTCCGAAATCGATTGGAAATTTGTCATCTTTGCAAGAAACTGGACATCTCCTTCAATAAATTGAATGGAACCTTTCCTGAATGTTTTGGACAACTCTTGGAACTTGTACACCTAGATCTCCAAGAGAATTCATGGAAAGGTGTCGTAACAGAAGCACAATTGATGAATCTCACAAGATTAGAAGATTTAATAATATCAACAAACAAATTCAGGTCCTTGGTTTTTAAGGTGACATATATATGAATGGGTACCCCCTTTCAAGCTCAAACTTCTTCATTTAGAAAATTGTCTTGTAGGCCCCAGATTCTTGGTCTGGCTTCAAGTTCAAAGTGAACTCGCTTCTGTAACCCTTACAAATGTTGGAATTGCAGACACCATACCTGAAGAATGGCTTTCGAGGATATCTTCTCAACTTGTCAATTTGGATCTATCTAACAACCAAGTAGAAGGGAAGCTCCCTTACCATTTAGAATTTCCAAAACTACTTGCTGTCGACTTGAGTAATAACAGTTTTCATGGTCCCCTCCCATTGTGGTCCACTAATGCATCTGTATTTTCTCTTAGCAACAACTCATTTTCGGGACCAATTCCATCAAATATTGGTGAACTGTTGCCTCAATTGCAAATGTTGTATATGTTTGAGAATCGTCTCAGTGGTACAATTCCATCATCAATATGCACAATGGAAAATTTAAATGCACTTGTCCTTTGGAGCAATCAATTATCTGGAGATCTCCCTCAGTGTTGGAACAAATTGCAAAATTTTAAGTTTTTGGATGTAAGAAACAATAGCCTTTCAGGTAATATTCCGAGCTCAATTGGTTCCCTAAGTTCTCTTGATACATTATTGTTGAGTAGCAATGATTTAGACGGGGAAATTCCTCCATCTTTGCAAAACTGGTCAAGGTTATTGAGCATTGACCTTGGGAAAAACAGATTCTCAGGAAAATTACCTTTATGGATCGGACAAAATACAACTCCACCTCTTCAGTTGCTACACCTACGATCTAACTCATTCAGAGGAAACATCCCTCAACAATGGTGAAATCTTACAAATCTTCAAATCCTAGATCTTGCACACAACAGTCTTTCAGGAGTCATTCCCAACTGTTTGGGAAATTTATCAGCTTTAGTTTACGGTAATAGCAGTACATTTGTGTATGAGATGGAGGAAAACAGTTCATTGCCGATGCTAAGAGAGATCAAATATTATGGCATAACTCTAAGCTATGTCAACAGCATTGATCTTTCAATGAATGGCCTAATTGGTGAAATCCCTACAGAAATAACACACCTCGTTACACTAGGCACCTTATATTTGTCAAAGAATAACCTGTCCGGCTGCATCCCCATGAACATTGGAAATTTGCAGTGGTTGGAAACTTTCAATGTTTCAAACAACCACCTTTCAGGACCAATTCCTCAAGGTTTGTCTCTTTAACTTTCTTGGCTCACTTGAACCTATCTCACAACAACTTGATAGGGAAAATTCCATCTGGAAATCAGCTCCAAGCCCTGGATGATTCATCCATTTATGAAGGTAACCCTTTACTTTGTGGACTCCCTCTTCCGACCAAGTGCCCAGGTCTGGATGTCAATGACGATGAAAATCATCATGACATGGAATGGTTCTTTGTCATCTTGGAATCTGGATTTGTAGTAGCATTGGGTTGTCTTTGTTACTTCATTAATAAGCAAGTCGTGGAGGCGTGCCCACCTTCAGTTCTCGGAGAACATGATAGAAAGGATGGATCTTTTGATTGCGTTGAGAGTGGCTCATTTATAAGAAGATGAACTCAATGAACAATTAATCTTGTTGATGAGATGGTTCAGTAATCAATTTGTTTCAAAGGAAATCAGTAATTCAAGTGTGTGTATGTGTAAGCATGTGTGTGTAACCTATGTGTGTAACCTATGTGTGTATGTGTAAGCATGTGTGTGTGACCTAAGGCAAGTGCAGTGCTTTGTGATTTGCTCTGTCATTTTGTTGTATTTTTTAGATTATGTGTAAGCATGTGTGCAATAATATATTGTCATGTACTATAATTCTCTCACATTACCATTTCAATTATCAATTTGTAGTGTTATGGAAACGTGGTACAAATGGGTAGTCCAAAACTACATCTATATCTATAACGATATTACTTATATAAACAATGCCCATCAGTCCCCAGTGGGACTGAAAACAAACTATTGGCGCATATGAATGACCAAAACATCCATTGGTCGACTTCCAGCAAATAAACAAGTTTGAGAAGTACTAGCGAGGGACTGTCCAACGACAGTCGCCTGGTGGATCGGTTGAAAACCAGTAAAAAAATAAAAAATAAAAATGTTATTTTGGTTGGTTAAAAATCAACACAAAAGTCTTGGAGAATTGTGATTGGTGTGGTTAGACATTAGCGGATAACGACTATTACTACCAACTTGTCATCAAGTTTTTAAAAGGCCTCCTAGACTCTTAGTATATATTAAAGTGTATAATTCCTATACGTTTTAAAACTTTCGTGACTTTTAATTTTGGAGCAAATAAGGATTTGAATGTTGAAAAGATTAAAGTGTTCCTCTATAATTGAATAAAAAAATATAAAAATAATTAAATATGAAATAATTAAATTGTCCCTCTTTTTATATACTATATAATATAGGGTTGGGGGCAAAAGACACCCTTATGGTATGTATACAAAATATATAACCCCCTATAAGGCCTATACGTTATAAATCTCCTTAACATTCAATTTTGGTACAAACAAGAACCTAAATGTTGAAAACACTAAATTATTCCTTTACAACTAAATAAAAAATAATTAAAAAAATTTATTAAATGTGACAGGAGTGTATATATATAAGGATATTATTGGAAGAGACAAGGGTATTTTTAAAATTTTATATCTTAAAAATGTCATGTGCAATGCATATGAATAAATTTTTAACGAAACAATAACTTCAAGCCCTTCTTTGTCACATTTTTTCAAACTTAACGAACTTGTATACTCAAAATAAAGGATAGGGGTGTTATTTGCCCAAAATGTAAACATTGGGGGTGTTTTTCTCACTTTGTCCTAATAAGGGCATTATAGGAAGAGATAAGGGTGTTTTCGGAGCTAATTTTATAGCTTAACAATGACTTCAAATCCTTTTTTGTTTATCTTTCAAGCTTAACGGACTTATATAATATATACACAACATAAGTCATTTTTTGCTCATTTTTTTCAAACTTAACGAAATTATATACTGAATAAACAATAAGGATGTTGTTTGTCCAAAATTAGAACATTAAGGGTATTTTTCTTAGTTTGTCCTTTATCTAACTCAAATATTCCAAAGAAAAAAAAAATGTTGTTTTTATTTTCTCAATTTGTTGTTTCATATATTATGTTCATGTGTAATGTGTGTAAATAACATAGTCCTGTTCAAAATCAGTGGCGGCCCACTCCCCACACACCAAACCCAAACCAAGTCCATAAAATATTTTGGTGGTCCCCAAGCCCAAGTCCATAAAATATTTCAACTTGAGCCCTTTAATCCGGTCAAAATAAGCCCAATTCAAAATAGAGAAATAAAGCCCATTATTAATTCACCTACAGCAATTTTCCCACTTTACTGTTTACTCATCATATTTTATGTCTATAGACTATAATGGAGATCCCACTATCAAAGCCATTTTAATTATTATAAAGTGATTGAAGTTCCTGGAATTTGTCTTTTTAACACCTTTAAATTATGAATTAAAATTCCCTTCCTAACAATCTTACCATTATAGCTGTGATATTCACTAAAAAGACCTGTCAGTAATGAAATTTACCAATCGCACTGACACATCATAGTGAGCAATCGTCTAGGAGATTCAAGTGAACCTACCTACCCTTTCGTCCCCACTTTTGGGATTCAAGCACCTGCGATGGTGTTCGTTGGGGGCCTGGGGGCGCAAATGCTCTGAAGTGAGCTTTCCTTACTGTCCATGCGGTGAGTTTTAAGTGATTTATATTTGTTCATGTCTTTCTTTATTTAATAGCCGTAGAGACTAAGACAGTGTTTGAATATAACAATTACAAAAAAAGTAAAAATTATCTTCACCCTCAAAATAAGGTATGCACATAATGCAGATTAACTAATGTCATAAATAAACGTAACTCAATTCAACATATCATTTATGTTATTATTTGAAATTAAAGTATTTTAAAACACTTTAACATGTTAATTTAAAGAATTTAAATCAAAATTAAAGTCACTTGAATTAACTTTAGACAACAAACAAAATACTTGATATTTCCAAAAATAATGAAAAGAGCCACATTTTTTTTTTTTTTTCATTCCCAAAAAAAAAAAAAAAAACATACACTTAGGTATAAATTATGTAACATATCTTTGAAAAAAATTTGGCAAAGTTTAATATTAATTGCAACACTCACCACCTTTACCATCAAAAAAAAATATTCGCGTAATACTGAAAAACTAATAGTCACACGTAAATCTAACTAAATTTAACATATTATTTATATATTTTTTAAGTTAAATTTTATCATAAAAAATTGAACATCCAAAAAAAATAGTCACATGTTAATTTAAAGAGGATTTTGACAGGATCATGAAGAATTTGGTTGTCAACAACCTTCATTTTTTAAGCAGTAATATTACCCTTTTACAAATGGTAATGTTACTTTTAAAACTCCTATGATGTTACTTATAAATGATGGTCAAAAAGAGCTTACTAAAAGATTCGTGTGACATTTCACTTTTTTGTAATTGCTAAACGCGGTATCAAAAGCTGTTAAATGAAGAAGGACGTGGCCAAATATAGACCACTTAGGAGCTCACTGCAGGGGACCGCATGGGAATTCACTTCAGAGGATTCGCACCCGTTCCTTGGGATGCTTACTCATGGGAATTTTGATACCATTTTGTAAAGAGTACGATTCTTGTAGTTGGACTTCAAAACTTAAATTGTTAGATACTGTTGTCAATTTGATTTTTCATTCAGATCCAACGTGAACAAAAAAAATTAGCCTAACAGTCTATTGCGGCCGTGCTATTACTTCACCTCTTTTTACATGGACCTTGAAATTGGCAGTGTTATAACCAAATTGCCCCTTTATTCCTTTATAATAAATCATTGGATAAATGATGCTAACTAAAGTTTAGACAAATTACACAAATACATCATTAAGAGTAACTCCAATGCAAAATAATATATTTTTATGCCAAATCTATAGTTTGAGAGGAGTTACAGTGTCAAAAGGCTATATTTTTGTAATTGCTCTAATGGTACATTTCATCCAAAATGCTATTTTTTGACACAACAACCATTCCATATTTTGAGAGCCCATTGGAGTACCTTATTTTCATTTTAACAATTTTTGACAATCTCAAAATATGAGAGTTCTTTTGAGAGCCTATTGGAGTGCATTATTTACATCCACCTGTTATATTTTGAGTTTGAGAAGTCATTTAAGAGTTACTATATTTGGTAATACTTTTAACAATCTCAAAATATGAGAGGTCTTTTGAGAGGCCATTGGAGTGCCTTATTTTCATCCACTTGTTATATTTTGAGTTTGAGAAATCATTGGAGAGGACATTGGAGATGCTCTAATCGTTTATTACTTTAACTTCTTCTAAGATTTGGCATGTGTTCAATGACACCCCTAAGATTTTTTTTTTTTATTCAATACCAATTGACTAAATTTTATAAAAGCATAATTTTGCCATTTTCTTATATAAAAATATGCTCTTTCTCTTGTACGAATAAGGTTGCAAATGAGTTGAACCGAGCTGAGCCGAGTCGAACTTTAGGTTGCTCAGGCTTGGCTCGTCTAAGTTAGAGAGCTGCTTGGACTAGGCTCGGGTTCGGCCGAGCTTGGCCTAGTCAGGCTCGAGCTCGGCTCAATAATTTTTTGATGAGCTCACGCTCGGCTCGGTTCGAGCTCGTGTGACTGTGTATATATAATATATATACATATATGTATATACTATCTATCAAATCGAGGAACCATTTTGGAACTGAAAAACACCACCATCAATTCACATATTAAACATTCTTCTCTATTCTTGAGTCTCCTTCACCAACTTCAATTTCATCAATATTCGATTTATCAGATTTATAACAATTATATCAAGCTAGAGAGAGAGGGGAGAGAGAGAGAGATAAACCTAACTCGATGTCGCTTAGGAATACAAGATAATCACATGAGAAGTAGAAGGACCGTGGATTTCTGTCGTGATATGCCAGTGGGATTGGAGAAGCTGGTTTCAACTTGTTGCCGTTGTTTCTGAGGGTTTTGTTTTTCTTTTTTAATCTACCCTTAAGATATTATAAGGTGAATACAATGGCTGAGATGAATTTAGACTTAAATGGGCTACTTAATGGCTGAGATCAATTTAGACAGTGGGTTACTTAAAAAATGGGCTTCTAAATGTCCAAATACTAATTGGGTCAATACAAAATATATATGAATTTGGGTTAGATTTATATATATGGGCTGCCTTTAAATATAACATATATATTTATATATATATATATGTAAACGAGTATGCTCATGAGCCGAGCTTAATATTGTTCAAGCTCGGCTCGTTTACTAAATAAATTAGTCTAAGTCAAGCTTTTAATAAGTCGAGTCTAAGTTGTTCATGAACGACTTGGTTCATTTGTAGCGCCTATGCACGTAGATTGCCCATTTTTTTTTTTATGGTTGATGCGTGTAATTTGTCCAAATTTTAGGGAAAGTTGACGTAATTTACCCTAAACCAAGATACCCCTCGCGCAGAAGATTGGCCATTGATAACCCGATGACCTGTTTTCTCTCAAAACTCTCTCTATCTCCCCGACTTCTGGGGCAACAGTGATTCCATTAACTTCTTCGTCGGCACTTGGAGACTAATCAGCAGTGAGCAACGTGACTACAACAATCTTCTACATTACCAATTCCAATCTCTGCCCTGGTACGTATCATTCATGGTGTCTACTTTAACATTTGATGAACTCTCTCACTCTTTGCAATTCTCTTTCTAGATTTTCTCTATCTGTTCATCGATAGGTCTACCCTAATTTCTTGGAGAAACCTTCATTTCTCAGTATACCAACTTTCTATTCTAACTCTAACCAGCTCAGACTTTAGTGTTGTTCCATAAACCCTAATTCTCTCTATTTTCTCATTTTTTTTTATTTTTTTATTCTTTTTCATTTGGGGATCTGAACGGGTCTACCAAGAATTCTAAGATTCATTCTAATGCAAAGAATTTTGATGATCTATGACTAGACCCAGATGGTTCAATTTTCATTTCTCTTTTTAGTCATACGTGTAGTCCAACTTCATTGACATTTCTTGAGGGTGGTGGAAAATTTTCATCTGTATTTCTAGCTGATTGTTTTATGGATCTATTCAGCTAATTTGATTGCTTATGATTATTTCCAGTTTCTGCAATAAAGTATTTTGACTTCTATGGTTTTGTCACGTTTTTGTAAGCAGCTTGGATTTGGCTCAAGAACAAGAAAAATTATATTAGTAGTTATCTAGAGTAAATTGAACCTGTGCTGTTTCCATAGGGCAATGCTCCAAGTTGAACTTGGGACATTGTGAAAAATGGTTGGGAATTCACTAGTCCATGTTTCAACATGCCCTACTGTGTTATCTTCTTGTGGGATTACGCGGACGCCTTGTTCTGTGAATTTTTTGCCTTTTCTGCCGTCAAGATCACAAAAGAAATTCTTCAGGGTAAGAGCTACATCTGATACAGGACATACCCAACTGCCCTCTTCTTCTGAAAAAAAGAATCCACTTGCAGTTATTTTAGATGTACCTCGGAATATTTGGAAGCAAACATTGCGGCCATTGAGTGACTTTGGGTTTGGTAGGAGGAGCATTTGGGAAGGTGGAGTTGGGTTGTTCCTTGTGTCGGGCACAGTCCTCCTTGCACTTAGTTTGGTTTGGTTAAGGGGGTTTCAGTTGCGGTCTAAATTCAGGAAGTATCTGGCTGTCTTTGAGTTTTCTCAGGCTTGTGGGATTTGTACGGGAACACCTGTTCGGATTAGAGGGGTGACTGTTGGCAATGTTATTCGTGTTAATCCTTCCTTGAAAAACATTGAAGCAGTTGTTGAGGTGAGTTAAAGACTAAATTTTCATTACTAACTCAAAAGTTTGTTAATCATTTCTATTTTTTGAATGAAATCTTGAAGCACAACCGTGTTTCTATTGATTGCTTACATTGTGGGAATCTCTGCTTATACATACCCCTTCTGTTTGTAGGTGGAAGATGATAAAATAATAATACCTCGAAATTCACTTGTTGAGGTGAACCAGTCTGGCCTTCTCATGGAAACTATGATTGATATTACACCTCGAGAACCAATTCCAATACCTTCACTTGGCCCTCTTGACCCAGAATGTGTTAAAGAAGGGCTAATTGTATGTGATAGGCAAACGATAAAGGGATATCAGGGTGTAAGTTTGGATGCCTTGGTTGGGATATTCACCCGCCTTGGACGCGAAGTAGAAGAAATTGGTGTTGTCAATACCTATTTGTTGGCAGAGCGAGCTGCATCTGTTATTGAAGATGCAAAACCATTGCTTACCAAGGTGTGATATTCCCATCTTAAAATATTGTTTTAGCTGAGTTGAGCCATGCCTAACAGTTAGTTAATTATTTTCACTGCAAATATACAATGACAAATTATGTTGGTAGGGTGATCAAGTGAAGGCTGGAATTCTGTACTACTTCCGAACTTCTTATTTTAAATAGAGATGGGCTATTGATGGCAGAGTTTGAACTTGGTATTTGAATCTCTTTGAGCGCATTCCATTAACCTTTTATATGTGGAAAAAAAAATGTTCTTATCTAGAAAGAAGAAAAGTTGTTGTTTCCTTCCTCTCTTCTACACTTCCTTTTTTTTTTCTCTGGTCAAAATATTAAATGGAATATGAATTTTATGGTCAAAAGTATGCTCCTGAACAATATTAAAAATCAGTGGTCCCTACCTTTTTCTCTTCGTTTTTTTTTTTTTTAGTTCTTTTTTTGTAGATTTTTGTCAAACTTTTGTCCAAGTGATAAACCCATCACTATGAGATTTCGAACTTACCTGTGCTAGCTACTTTTTAACCTTGCTACATTCTATTAGTTTCGTGATTAGTATTTATTCATTTGAAAGCTAAAAAGTAGCGCTCTTGATGTTGTTTTGTATGTATTCATTCAATGGGTAACTTGGCCTTAGAAGAATTTGGAAGTAAAACGATTTTTAATGTATATATCAAATATGATTCTTCTTTAGAAATTTTTACTGTTAGCTGCAAAATTATCAAGTCTTTCGAATCACTTACGAAATATTAGGGAAAACGCTAAGTAATCATGAAGTCTCTGATTTATTCTTGCTTCTACTTTTTGAGGGCATAGAAAGGGATATTTTCTTGTTGAGACTGATTATTACATAGATTAGGTGGAGTATAGTTTTTGTGCCAGTGAAGAAGCGTGACATGGTTTATACTGAGGTAATACTGGGGAAAGGAAAGATCAATAGTAATATGTATTTTGATGATAAGGAATGATGTCATAGTGGGTGATTCAAATAAAATGAAGATCTTAAACATAATAAGATTCATATATTTCACCCAAGTAGTTAGGATAAGGCTTTATTGAGTTTTAAGTGAGGTGGAATGCCCTTTCAAGCATTGTGTTTTTCATATAGAGATTTTAGGCATCAGAGATCAAACAATTCTGTTGTCGATCACTTTTGGCGTGTGAAAACAATATCCTTCAAATATTTAAGTAAAATTTCATTTTTAAACAATCATCTTTCCACCAAAAGGAGAAAACACAAGGTGTTCCACAAATTTGGATTCATATGGGATATCATTCATGTGGGATTTTATTGATATGTTATCTATAATTTGGGCTTGAAACCCTTTGGCCCTACACAATGTGCCCCATTTGTTCTATAAGGTTACCTTTTACTTAGGAGTCTTGGCTGGTCAAAGTCGTCAAGATCTTCAGTCAAGCATGCGGCTTAAATTGTAATCTGGTGGTGCTTATTTAGCCGCTTCTTTGATTGGTGCAAAATTAAATGTATTTAGATAATCCAACTCTAAGGAAACTGAAAGTAGTTTCAGAAAGCATCCAACTTCTGTAGTACATGGATGTTGCTCATTGTAGTTTGCTATTAATTAAGCTATCACAAAGACACTAAAGATTAATAAAGTGCAACAAACATTAAAAGAACGACAAGAATCTCGTGATGGGAAGTGAAAAACTCCTTTTACCTTTTCTTCCAAATACCTGATTCTTGAAATTCTTGTGTAACAACAACTGTGGAAAGCTTAAAATTTGTAGGATTAGCGGAAATACTTGGTAAACTAACGAATCAAATGAATAAACAAACTTTCATGATTAGGAGCGAAAGGAACTTCACATAGGAGATTTTGGGGTGACTTGTTTTTCCTTCAGGCCATTTGTAAGAAGATGATGATAAGCAGCTGGTTATATTGTCAGATGCACTGTTGGGAAATCTGTACTAAAATGGTGGTTTTGTTTTCCATTTTGATTGTTGAGAACATAGTACTCACACATTCCAGACATTTTGTGTGTAAATAGGGTCTCACAGAAACTTGGGGGCACTTAATTGTCCTCATGGTCGTGGGTAACCAGGACCCACGATTTGAGCAATCAGTATGCTGACCACAGGTGTCTGAGGCCTGTGAGGTTGGAGGAGGGAAGAGCTAAGGAGGCAGCTTTTCCCTGTGAGTATGCCTTGATGATCCTCTTTCAGGACCACGTCGTCCCACCCAAGAAGGGAAAGGATGACGTAGACTGATACAGGGCATAATTGCTATTAATCTACAACGTCTTGTGATGTCAGGATTTTAAATGATGCGAACAGACTATTTCATGGGTCCATTTAGCACATCTAGTGTACCAAAAGAATTTTTAATTTGTTTGTAGTGGTCATCTGTTGATTAAGTTCTTTGAATGGTTCAAAAATTTCAGTCAATTTCAAAAGAAGTGTTCATCTCGTATGATAAAATTTCATCAGCCTTAAAAGTCATTTTATTTTGATCTATTAGACTAAACGCAGTAGAAGGTTTTCTCTTAATCTTTTATGTGTTAACAAGGATAAAATGAGTGGTTAAGAGAGAGTTTAAGAAATAGGCACATAGTGTTTTGTTGTTGTTTTTTTGACATGTTTGAGTGCATGTGCTTTTGAGCCAATCTGCCTACCTTGTTTAACTGCACTGCCATTATTTGGCCTCAAAGCTTCTCAGATGACTTATGCAACACCTTCACTTTTGGTATAATGATGGCAATACCTCTTTACCATGCTGTTCCTTAGTGTGATTCGTGACAAGTAGGAAATTTTGAATGCAACAACTGAAGGAAGAACCTGCATGATTGTCATATCTGTATTCTCATACTCTTGTGATCTGTGCAAGTGTTGAGATCCTTGTCCATACACAATGTTTTATATATTCTCATGCACATAAATTTGTTTTTGATGTAGTGATGTCTCAGATCAAAGCCATGGCTGAAGATGTTCAACCTTTGCTGGCCGAGGTTCGTGACTCTGGTTTGCTGAAGGAAGTTGAGAGTTTAACCAAAAGCTTGACACAAGCCTCTGAAGATCTGAGGTATAATTTCCCAACTATACCAGCCATCTTTTGATTTGGGCATACTCGATTGAATGGTGTCTTGTGGTAAATGGGAATTTGTTCAAAAATGTACTACTTTTTTTTTTTGTTTTCTTTTGTTTTTGTGTTTTTTTGTTTTCTTAGTTGGTACTGACACCCATGCCTCTACTGAGGCTCGAACCCCTGACCTCCCTTTGGGAAGTAGAGGCCTAGTACCGCTGGGCCACTTGCCCATTGGTTAGCTTGTTGAAGTTTGTGGAGAGTTGCATCCCAAAAATGTGTAAACAACTCATTGCACTTTGGTTCTTCTCTCTTTTAGTAAATTTTTTTTTTTCCTTTTCATTTTAGCAAACATATAGCTCTCATCACAAAAATGACATTTGAAAGGAAGAATCTCCACTGTTCTAGTTACCAGTGAACTTAATTGTTTGGATAGGCTACGGTTTTTTTTTTTTTTTTTTTTTTTTTTTTGTGATCCCTTTTTATATACGAGTCTATCTTCTTCTTTTTTTCTTTTTATAATTATTTTTTGTTTTTTTATGTTGGTGATATAGTGTTTTGTTTCTTACCCAACACACACACACACAGTAATTAATCTGGCTCATATTTATGTCCATGATGCCTCACTCTAGGAGCTATTTATAATTTTATATCTCACTATTATAAGTGAAACAACTGAATTATAGTGCTTTACTAAGCTTCCCAATTTATTTTACCTAAACCTAGTTGTACTGCCACTGCTGCCTGTCATTTGCCTCTACTGCTAAAGAATATGTAACTGTCATTACCATCATTGCACCATTGCCACCCACCAGGCACCATTGCACTCACCAGCCCCCCCCACGCCACCTAAATGTTTCAACCCACATCAATACTAATATGCTAGTACTTTCTTGAAATTCAAATTTTCTTTTGTTTGGGGCATAATGGTGATTAAATGCTATATACCTGTTGAGACTGCTTAAATTTGGCTACTTGATCGCGGATTAAATTGTAATCAGCAAGTGGCTTGAATTTGCTATGTACTTTTCTTTGATAAGTTTGAAAAACACATCTCAACTGGATTTGGACTTGCTGTCGTTTTCCCTTTAAAATGTAACATCCACCTTTTACAAATCTGTAATATAAGGAATTTTCACATCCAAATACTAAAACAAAACCTTGATTTCCTATTCTGATATATGTAGCTGATATAAACTATCTACGTGGTCTGAGATGTCTTCGTTAACAACGGCTATTTCAGTGTTGCTCTGTATTCTGTCTTGTTTGGGTTCTCATGTTTCGGGCCTATTCTGTCTTGCTTTTGTTGCATGTTCTGGGCTTGCCCAATAGATAGGTATTTTATTGCTCTTGGTTGGCCTTGTGCCTTGTTTGGCTCACTATTGGTTTTATAGTCTTGTACTTATTTATTATCTATACAATTGCTTGAATTTCCCAAAAAAAAAAAAAAAAAAACTATCTGGGGTCATTCAAAATGCTACAGACACAAATTCATATGCGCTCATTCCATATTATTGTCTTTCTCCCCCTCCTTGTTTCTATATTGTCTATGTGTGGGTGTTGTAGACTTACAGAAACTGAATATTCCTTTTTCTGCAGAAGAGTGCATTCATCCATTATGACCCCTGAGAACACTGAATTGATTCAGAAGTCCATATATACCCTCATTTTCACTTTGAAGAATATTGAGGTGTGTTCCTGCCTGGCATGTTTCTACATTTTGAGCTAAGTACACAAGCCATTAATAGTTTTTTGTTTTTACTGTGGTTGTCGTTGCTTTTGTTTCTTCTTCAACCATTGTTCAACTTTTGCAGAATATAAGTTCTGATATTTTGGGATTCACGGGTGACGAAGCGACTAGACGGAACTTAAAATTGCTTATCAAGTCTCTCAGCAGGCTGTTATGAAGACACATGGAGTTGGAAACAGGGTTACAGCTTACAGCACCGGAATGACAAGACTCGAACACCGTTTCTATCTTTTGTATTCCTAGGGAGCAGAAACTTTGACTATGCCTCCCAACGATTCTTCTGTTTTGGGTTGCTACTGCAGAGGCATGTTCAATAGCCGAAGATTTTTGAATTTTTTTTTTCCCAGTCAGTCAGCTTACAACACGACTGTATCAAGGATAGCTTGTTCTATAGTTTTCAATTGGCATCAATATATTGGAACATTTGGAAATTTGTAGACAATAGTGTAGCTTGAGAAATCATTTCGTCTGATTGTCACACTCTGATGTTTACTGATTTATCACCATTTTTGTTTGCTTTGGGTATCATATGCCAGTTCAAATATGCTGGAACTACATTGGCTACCACATGTTTGATGCTTGCGAGTAGTTTCTCCGTGTAGTTGAAGCACCTTATTGTGTGTGTATCTGTGTGTGTTGGGTAATTTGGGCATCTCATTATATTGCATTAGTCGTGAAAGGAAATGAATCAGTCACTATTAATATTAATGATCATAGAGGGATGTTTGATATTGATGGATGTGCTAGAAGACGACAAAGAATAAAAGTAAAAATGAATATAAGTTGTGAGATGATTGAAATACTCCCATTTCTGGAGTATTGATATCAATGAGTGCACTAGTGAGGAAGAGTGACCTAATCTGTTGGTTTATAGGATAAAGAAAAATAAATTTTGTTTTGTTGGGGTTATAAGCTTTAGATGGAGATGAATAGCGAAATAGAGAAAAAAAAAATAAAATTGCTTTATTTATTTATTATAATTCACATAAATTCAGGGATGGAATGGTGGGTTAAAGAGAGATTGAATGGATTTTGGGAAGAACGATTTACGAATTTTGAATGCACACAATTGTTTGTAAACATCCTTAGTACGCATGAATTTGTTAAGTCTCTTTCTGCAGACAATGGTTCATATAAATAAATAAATAATTAATCGTTGACATATACTAAATACTAGTAGCATTTTTGAAGAAATCTAGCGAGAGAAGATACACGCAATGGACTTTATTCCCATCATTCCATCAAAAACTTTAGAAAAAGCATACATAAGTCTTTTTTTGAAAGGTAAAGCATAAACAAGTCAAGATCAAGACTAAATGAATACACCTAAACTTCACTGATTCTCTCTCTCTCATGTGGTACATGTCTAAGAGTAAGGAGAGGTGAGATGGTTTTGCTTTTTGGCAAATAAAAGCATCATTTTGTCTACACTTTTGATTCTGAGCAGTTTATTACTTTAAGAAACTTTTGTAACACAAAACTCAACCATAAATATCTATATATGTAGCCATATATATACATATATATAATCATGAACAACCTTCTCTAAGAGAACCTGTAGCAATTGAACTCAAAGGTGTTAAAAAAAGATAACCCTCAAAAACATCAACCCAGTCTAATCATCCACAAAGAGAGAAACACAGCTTGTCTGCCTTTGGTTAAAGGAAACAAAGTGGTATTTAGCTTTCCTTTACCAAAAGTGAATTTGGGATAACTCTTGGCTTTGAATGGATAAAAAGGAAAAATTAATCATCATACCATATTCTTTTGTGCATTTTAAGATGCCACTTATATAATCACACATGGCATGCATGCAAAACAAAACTTCAACTATAGTGAAAAAGATGTCTGCAAAAGATACAAGTGTATAAGCAAGGAAATGGCAATTTCACTTTTTAACTTGGCATACTTAAGCTATATATATATATATATATATATATCTTTTAATAGAAGTACCTAGATTTGATTCCATCTCACTGACTTTTGCATAAGCTTTTGGCAATTAAAGTAACTGTACATCTCATTCTTTTGGAGGACATGAATTTTAAGACCTAATCCAACGACTAAAATGTTGCATTGACCTTAATCTCTATGACTATAAAAAAAACTTTTATTGTGTGATTGTTGAACAAGTCTCTCACATCAGTTAGTGTGAACAAGAAACTTTGGGACTCATACAGTGGATGGGTCACTCCATTTAATTGGTAAACTTTTTGAGTTGGATATACCAAAACGGGTATAACTAGTGACCTCAAGGGGTGTTTACTGAAGAAGAAAATTTAGAACTTATATAGGGTAAGAGTCACTCCACCTAATAAGTTAACCTTTTGAGTTGGATACCCCAAGCCCAACATATCATTCAAGGGGACCACATGTGGACTTAAAATCCCCTAGCTAGGGAAGACGGTAAGACCAGTGACAATCTATCCACCAGGGTAAGTGTAACGATCCACTCCACCACATGGTATGATATTGTCCACCAGGGTGAGTGTAACGACCCACTCCACCACATGGTATGATATTGTCCACCAGGGTGAGTGTAACGACCCACTCCACCACATCCTCCTGAATCGGTTGACCGAAACCCTCCATCGGTCGACCGAAATGAGAGATGCTGAGAATGTGAAGATGGTTCGGTCGACCGAACCCCATTTCGGTTGACTGAAATGGAGATACTGAGAGGGTGCGAGTGGTTCGGTCGACCGAAGTGCCATTTCGGTCGACCGAAATGACCCTCCTGAGGCTGGAACCTGCTATTGAGGTACTGCAATTTGGAGGCAAAGATGAACTAAAACAAAGACTTAATTATTGTGATAGACTTGTTCTAACATCACACAAATGAATTGATCTACAACCATAAACAAGAGTACCAATTCATGAACACATCATAATGATGCTTCCCGTACATCGTCATTTCAAAAGTCTTTATTTACAATAAAATGGATTCAAGGTTTCAATTACATCATCATTTACATGCCCAATAAACTTAAAACATCCTATTACATGTACTGGACAAAACAAGCTCAAGCTCTACAAAATTATATCCAAAATGCTTTCCAAGTTCCTTCAATTCAATGGTAGATTTTCATCCGCTGTTTCTTTGCCATGACCTGAAAATGTTAAGTATATGGGGTGAACAAATTGCTTAGTAGATGGCACTTAAGACACGTCTCTTGTTTCCTCGTGAATCCATACAAAGAATAGAGCAATAGGAAATGGGGATCATACAATGTCGAGACAATATCACATAAATATCAATCCCAAGCATACACAATATGATACAATGGGAGTGCAATGCATGTTGATGTCGCTCCCCATTTTCACATTCAAAATCATCGCTTTCAAACTGTTAATATAACTCGCCCTTTGGTGACCCCGCAGCGACACGAGAGAAGGATTAGTTAGTGTCCCTGACCCTTGGTACCCCCGCGGCGTCATTATGAGGCCCATCTAGCTCAACCACACTAGGGCAATCTCCCTAATTTCCTCTAGGCTATATTAACCTTTCGGCCCTTCGGTACCCCCGCGGCGACCGGGTTTTCATAAAACACTTTAATCAAAAACTTTTTCCTAAAATCCCCTTTTTATCAATTCAAAACGATTTCCTTCCATGCAAACCCAATGATATGTATGTGTGTCTCATGTTTTCAATTTCAATAATACTAAGAAATTTCTCACAACATAGTCTAGCATGTTTTCATACATCATTTATAGCATGTTAACAACATAATAGAAATAAGAACTCAACATATAAGCATGCTTTTCATACAATCTAATTAACACCCATCTACATACATTCACATATACTCAATGAAGTCATTTTAAACTATAATCAAAGCAATTAAACATGCTAAGGCACAATTCAAGTAGATTAACTCACTAAGGCACAAGAATTTCATGGATTAAGAACCCCTACCTCTAAATTGAGCAAAACCCTTGAAATGGGTCACAAATTTCGAAATTCAAAGGGAGCACCAAATCTGAAATTGTTGCTACTCAAGCGTAGAGCTCGTCGTGCTCTTCGTTTTGCCTCAAACAATACTTAAAATTACCAAGTAATGAAGATGGAATCAAGCTTCAAAGGTTGTTTCTAAAAAAAGAAGAAAAATGAAAGAGAAATGAGAGAGAGGAAGAACCAGCGGGGAGAGAAAAAGTGGGGAAGCAAGGTGGTCTCTAGTCCACTTACGTGGTTAGTGGTGGGGCCACCAAATGTCTTTTTATTTTCTCTTTTTCTTTATTTTAATTTCTACACTACACAAATATACATATATGCACCACCATAAAAAATGCCACTTAAAACACATAAAATAAAATGTATAAGATACAAATGAACCCAACTAAAATCCCCGTGCACAACAATACCGGTAGCGGGTCTCACACGGGACCATCCGGTCCGAAAAACGAAAAAATGTGAAAATGACAACCCTGCATTTCAAAGAGTCATGGATTCAATGAAATGCCCTAACCAACTCACCGACACACCCGGCACACCCCACTGTATCCGATGTGCAAAACGTGGAATGACGAAAATGCCCTTACACTAACAAAATTCCAGAAAAATGAAAAATGATGAAAATTGGAAACATCACACCTCGTGGGGAGGAAATTTGTTTGGTGAACAAGGAAATCTGAAACTTATATAGGTTAAGAGTCACTCCACCTAATAGGTTAACCTTTTGGGGTGGAAACCCCCGAGCCCAACATGTCGTCCAAGGGACCGCATGTGGACTTAGGATTCCCTAACTGATGAGAAGACGGACGAGTGACAATCTATTCACCAGGGTGAGCCTCGTTCAAAGGGGGTAGTTGAACGAGCCCCACATCAGTTAGTGAACAAAAAAATTTGAGACTTAAATAGAACAATACTTCACCTAATATGTTAACATTTTGGATTGGATACCCCCAAACTCAACATGTACTACATAATATTGCCAATCATAACTCCACATGTAAATAAATATATTATTATTATTATTATTATTATTATTATTATTATTATTTTTGTCATCGTGTAGATGGCAAACTCTCATAATACTTTTTGAAACTCAAACTCCCAGTCTTTCACCTTGAAATAAGAAAAGACATTATCACTAGACGACAGATTACATTACTAATCAGCCAAATAAAGAAGTACCATTTAAATATGGAAAACTAAATAATTGTGTCTAAATTATTATTTACCTTTGGTATTAAAACTGTGGTCATTCAACCCAATCACTGAACTTCTTTGGATGGTGGTTCTAGTAGAATGAAATCATTTAGCGAGCTTAAATCAAGATCATGACTACAGACGTCATTGAAAGATATCTCACTTCATGTCAAAATATTAGTGCATGCAAACTGCACAATAGCGGAAATGGTTGAGACAACACTATTGCGTTTGAACTTCCAAAAACACACACACACACACACACACACAATTTGGTTTGACGGTAGTCCATGCTAATTTCACAAGCAAGGACTATCCAGGATCTGCACATTTCTTCTTTCAATGCAAACATGTATGCAAATATAT